GCGCCGAGCCGCCACAACGGTGTTCAGAATTGGCCTCGCAGTGAAAGATGAATCTTAGAGTGAACCGTGACAAATCAGGAATTACTTTGTTTTTGTGCGTGTAGGGAGTTCTTGCAGTTAACGCTGCGGAAACCACTCTGTTGTCTGACTCTTGATTCGTAGCGTCAACATCGCGTAGCAGAGGACAGATTTAATTTTAGAGTGCAATTACATGCACATATACATGTATATTTGTAGTGCCCGTGGTAGCAAGTATTCTTAAATCATACAGAGCTCTACACTGTTTACTCAGGACAATGTCAGCACACATCAAGCAGCACTACATGTATACCACTGTGTCGCCAACATGTCGTAACTAAGGTTCATGTGGACGCACGGAACAGAACGCACCGGTGGTGTCCTCTGAAGTCTTGTTTGGCAGGGACATGTCCTCTCTCATCATGAAATGCGTCACACACTCATGTCATGTTTCTCTTATAAGATTGCATGCTTCACACTCTCATGTAATATTTCTTTCCTTTCTTCGTCCTTTTGCGAGAGCTTGGACAATCCACTTGTCCAGGCAAGAAGGCAGCAGTGCCTGTTCATTCTGGCGAAGTAAAATAAAATAGTTATACTAACCAACCAACCATGTTCATGGCACAGGTGTTTTGCTTTAATATTGAAGTGTGTTCAGATAAGAAGTACATTGTACATGAACCTCGGATACTAAGTACATGTACATGTACATGCTAGTAGTACTAGTACGTTTGATGTTCCCATCGGGAACGTATTATCAGTAGGTAGCGGCGGGTTTTGCTTGAAAAGGTGGCAGATTCTGCTCGGAAAGCAGTGAAATTGGCAGAAATATACAAACCTTATGGCGGGCAATTCCTCGAATTCTGCTCCATTTCTTTATCCACATGCCACACATGCATGAAACTTACCAGAAAAAGTATCGAATTCTGGCAATTTTTCCGGCGGCATAATCCGCCGGTGCCTAATTTTCAGAGCTCCTTTGAATAGGCAGGCAAAGTGGGATAGTCCAAGACCATGATTGAGAAACAGAGGGTACCAGGTTCAAGTCCTGCTCGTAAGCCGGAAGATTTTTTCAAGCCGTGCCGCGACCGACAGTTAATTGGGAACTCGTGGCCTGGCATGAGGGAAACATGGATGCAGTGGATGGGATTTTCGGTCTTTGACCACTTTGTGGTGGTTCTGATCTACTCACCTCCCACCGCTTCAGGATCTGCATCTCCGCCTTCATCCAAGAGGGCGGTGGCATTCCTGCGGATGCGGAAAACTCGGAATCTAGCCGAGTCTCACGCGAACCGTGAATGTTTTTTGAACATTGATCGAGTGATGGTTATTCTAGAATGAAGACAATGGCAATGGTCCGAATTTCCTGATTATGAGGCTAAGTACATGTATATGTATAACAGTGTGCCCGTGCCTCTCATAACTCTCACAAGGCGTAAGAGAACACAGGACATGTACAGTGTATTATGCAGATGTTGAGCACTTGGCAGCACGGCGAGCATATGCCAGAACGGAATGAGCAGTTCCACTCACCAGGCTGAAATTGAGCATGTCAACATACTCCGGAGTGCATGTCTGTAAAGAGGCTTAGTGATTGGTTCCCCGCTAAAGGCGATGAACCGTTACACCCACTTGTACGCGATTTATTTCCGTTGATTCAGCAAAACACACCCAAAGCTACATGTACATGTGAACATTTTTACACAGTCATCCCTTCTCTTCCACGTCGCAGTCTCTCTCAACACCTTAACCACTCTCACTGTAAGCGGCACATCAGTTGTACAGCAATTGCATGTCTAATCGGTACCTGCTGCAGCGCTGAGATCCCTACTAACCTCCCTGGGTACAATCAGTACTACAATGTAGATGTTTTACATGTTTAAAGAGTCGGCGTGGAAAATTTTGAATAACATAAACATCCTTAAAAATTCCATGAACTTGTTGTCTGGCCATGGCTGCATCTATTATATTCTTTTTTTTACATGTTTGATCATCAAAAAATTCTAATTGTCCGCAAACTCCAACGCAGCCACTTAGACATTTAGGAAACTTCACTTCTTAACTCCAAACTCCAAAAACGGTCTCTTCACTGCGATTTCGCTCGTAACGAAATCGCAGTGAAGAGACCGTTTTTGGGGTTTGAGTTGAGAACTGAAGTTTCCTAAATCATCAAATTTTATGTTTATCGCCCAACCGGCTGGAATGGTGTCGAGGTTCTGATGCTTTTCTTTCCTTTCAAACAAGATAAGAGTGTGTGCAAATTTGGTGTCGAGTCATAAATATCTATTCCAGTGAACTCTTTGCAGGGAACATTAATTTAACTTATTATTTTTTACAGAAACATGCTTCCCTTTTGTCTTCGGGTTTGTACTTTATGGATTCTCCACAGGCCTAAATCAGGGGAGTATCCGTATCATTTTGCGCTGGTCATATGTTATGGAACGTAGAAGGATTGCACGTCTCGCTGGTGTCCGCCATTGGTATAGATGAGTCATTGTCACGTGGTGCTCAGTCGCCTGGTAAGCTGCTAGGTCAGCATTACCAGACCTCAGGAGCGGATCCCAGAGTGAATAGTTGAACCAAACGCAATGAAGACTTGTCAACAGATTTGTATTATTACATGTATGTCGAAAAGAAGTCATTGTACGCAACCAGGGGAAAAAAAGTTGGCTTGTCATTGAAATACGAGCTTGTAAACTAATCTCAGAGTGACTAGTTCAACCAAACGTAATGAAGACTTGTCAACAGGTCTATATTATTAATTTAATCGAATAATAAGTCAATGATAGACAAGAGGGAAAAGAAGGAGATTAGGTCAGTTCTATCAGATCTTTAGCTACTTTGCTTCCCAGTGGAGCTTGCGTACCCAAAGAAATACTTTGCCTCATTGAGAAACAAACATGGACTGTATGAGACATTGTGAAATACCGGTATCCACAGGAACACTACCACGCGATGCAGCTCATAACAAAAGGGGGTGGGGTGGGGATGAGTAGATCATGCCCACCACCAAGTGCCTCACTGCAAGCCTACCCAAAATGTGCATAGCCTCCATCAGTAGGAGACACGGAAATCAACGAATGAAGCGGAGGAGGTATTTTCATGGCATTGGTTTTCATATGAAGCGCTTTGGGATGACCCCAAAACGCGACATTGAAAACAAACACCTCTTTAGAATTGAGATTCCTCTATCCATCTGCTTCGTGAGTATAACCCGATTATACGAGTGTAATTACTGTGTGCAGTTTTCTGAAAGCCTCTCAAGGGCGATATGACAACTTCAATTGTGGCATATATTCAGCTAGCTAAGGATTAGATGGGCATCTCTTAGTAATCCATGGTTATGGTAATTTGCGTGATACTCGATTGTCATTGACAGCCTGTGTGTGTGTGTATGTGTGTGTGTGTGTGTGTGTGTGTGTGTGGGTGTGTGTATGTGTGTGTGTGTGTGTGTGTAGGTGTGCAGCGGGGTCAGTAGGCCTCTTGTACCCGAACGAAAGCTGTGCGACGTTTTTGCTGGTATTATTATTTTATTTTAGTATGGTTCAAGTGCAAGGTTAAGTGCATGTTGATACATTTACATCCCATCCACAGAATACTAATACTAGATGACTGCCAAATCCTTATACAGTGTCACCTGCCCCCGCACTTGCAGCGTTGGTGATTGGAGATTAGTCTGGAAAACGATATGTCAGAGTCTGCCACAAAAATGTTGACAGCAAGGAGTATGGCTAATCCCCAGCGGGTTTGTGTCTACGGAAATCGCGTACGATGGGGTCTCACCTTACATGCAAACCCTGTTTGACCCATGGTATTTCCCTAGGAGACATGACATTGTGATAGCCCCTGTCAGAAGGACGACTGGTTGAGGGATCTACTGACGCATTTCAGGCATTTGCAACGTGTGAGTTCGCAAATAAAAATACGATGTGATATTGTTCAGCAGGGGACAAGAAGAATGGATTCACGTGAATTGGGTTCAAGAACTCTACCCTTTCGCCATCGACCGTATGAGCCACTCTTTTACAAAATTTTAAATGCCCACATACATGGATTTTGCCTGCGCGAGCCACAATGGTACGATGTAGGGAAAAGCAAAGCGAAAGCACATTATGAGCAGCCGTCAAAGAGCGGCACACCTATCGTGCTGTGCTACAAGGCATGGATTTCATCGGTCACCGCCTTTCTGTTGCCCATCTAAGGTCCTGACTAGTGTACGATTGTGGGTTTCTAGAGCATGGGCACGAGCATAACACCACGAATTGATAAAGAAGAGTCCCCTGCCATGATGGCGGTTTCTGGGAGAGCTATTGGTGTTTAGTAGTGTTTAGTGCTTTGTGATTCATTAGTGCCTGTTCTGGGTTTATTGTCATTCCTTACGCGTTGCTTATGCTGTCACATGCATGCTGTCCACACATTGAGTGATATGCTGTAACACAATTTTTACTGGCGGCGAGGGGACAATCATTAAGATCAGCTTGCAGCCCTACCGTTCTCCTGTCGTGCAGTAGGTTCTATATCCAGTGATCTAGAACAGGAGATATTGAGCAGAATTCATTTCGACAATTCACATTCAACCTATACAGTACAAAATGGGTGCTCCGTTTTAGTTTTGTTTTTCTTTTGTTTTTCTTCTCCTTTCTTCTTTTTAGTTTTGTTTTTCTTCTCTTTTTCTTTTGCTTTGCCCGTACAAGAGGCTATAACTCCATTGACAAAATATGGTCGATCAAGAAGAAGCTATTTTTACAATTCTTTTCGTGTTGTGTTCTATTTTGGTTGTGGCACGGTTTTCAGTCCATTTCCCGTCAGTGTCTGTTTTGAATATACCTATACAGTAGAGTACATGTACCTACACGGACTATATCGACCTGAGAATCATTCTCTTTCATGACCGTAAATCAAAAGTAAGATTTCAGGGGGCGCCACGAGTACTGTCATACATGCACATGTACTTGCAAGATTGCAAGATTGGTGACAGCAAGGACAGCGTAACCATGTTCGCATATTCTTGAATAGCGATGAGTTGGAGGAAGAAAATTGACACCCGAGAAATGTAACACAGAAGCCGTTGGTAAACTCGGTTAAAACTTTCGCAAAACGTTACTCGACTTCAAAAGAGAACCAATGATGAGAAGGCTTCATAGGCTTCTGTGCTACGTGGGGTGATTGCACAGGCAATAACTATAAACTTTGATCAGTGCAATCAGGCAAAATAATACGAAGCGCAAACGAGGTCATCATAGAGTTTCGGGTTGGGATCTGGTGCACAGAGATATGGTATGAGGCAGGGCAGGGTATAGGGGGGGGGGGTACAAGGGGTAAACAGACCATGGGCTGGTTTTAGTAATGTAGATGTATATCAGCACCTAGAATAGAAGGTCAAACGTGCACCTGCGCGCAAAATATGTACTAGAGCATACAGACTCTGGAGCAGGCCAGCGATGTTTAACAGCTCCAGAAGCGTAAAAATACTATCATACATGTAGCAGGACACCAGGAATTATCACCTTTCGCGCCTACTAGTATTGCACACGTGTACATGTACAATGTACAATGTACAATGTACAATGTAGCTATCATGCCTGGCTTCGTGGACGATGAGGCTTCATTTCCCTCTTAGTATTCTAGCCATACAGCTCGCTGCCGTTCTCTTGCTGACCGTCAGAGCACTGAAGCAGGCTGTAAAATACACCACAATAGCAGACATCGAAATGAGGGGAAGGAAGCTGTAAAAATTGGGATCCCATATGCACCACGTACATGCACATGTACACTTGAAATTTCAACACTCGTTTATCCCATGTGAAATTGGCGGCGGAAACGAGACCACTGCATCTGTTTTATGAAGTGCTTGGAGGGCGGACAGAAGGAGTGTTCGCGCTCCAGTTTATATTTTAAAATTCATTACGTTCCGAAATCACTGGGACAATTTCCGAATAAGTGTGTCACAAGAAACCGGTCTGGATTCCAAACTAACTAAAATGTATAATTATGTTCATGTGCATGTCCGTGTACATACACTGCTGCCCAAAGAAATCCAACTTCATGAATAGAATAGCGCAGGGCGCTACGCATCCCTTGCACTACACACACTGGTCAGTGCACTCGAACGCGGCGGTACTATATTCATGAGGTTCGATTTCTTTTTCGTGAGGTTCGATTTCTTTTTAATGAGGTTGGATTTCTTTAGCCAGCACTGTACACTCATGTACAAGTACATGTGGTTAGTTCGACAGCATGAAACAAGGTGGAGGACACTGTGTTCGGAACCAGTGACCTTACTACAACCATCCACGGTTGGCAGGGCCCCGGTCCGTTGGGACCATCTGAACCATAATTATGGGTAAAAAAAACAAGGTTTATCTAATGGTGTATTGCACTAGTTATCCTCATGTACAAATATTACACAGCAATGAAGCAATCAAATCTCTTTCCGCTCCAAGTAACAGCGGAAAGAGATTTGATTGCTTCATTGCTGTGTAATATTTGTATTACTGGCAGGCTCTGTCCACTGGAAATTGAGCACTGTAAGCAGCATGTGCACTTTTAGACTACTGTCTATCATCATGTACATGTAACTTAGTGCTTGGTGAAAAGTATACTAGTACTTAGTAGTGCTTAGTGGTGATTTCCAGCCATCCCCTGCCATTCCGGGGGGGGGGGGGGCGTTTTTGTGTGGTGAAGATCAGGAAAGGGTACCCTAGCTTAAGCACCGCTCCTTTGCCTTGCAAGCGATGAGCGTCTACACGCTCAGTAGCACACTGCCTTTTTCACTTGTAAGTTCTATTGCAGTTCAATTTTCGAATTTTTGATTTCGGTAGTCTCTTGGCCTGGATTATTATTGAATGGTCGGGGAAAGAGTTGTCGCCGCGGCCAGGATTTGATTTGCCACGTCCGATTCTGCTCGTGATTTGAACACTGATGCACGGTCCCGTCAGGACCTTCTATCATCTTCGGATGGGCATACAATGTATAGTATTGTATTGTATTTTGTGTGTGTGTGTGTGTTTGTGTGTGTGTTTGTGTTTCAAAGCGTTACTTTTTGAGGATTTTTGGTTGACTAGAGACAACATTAAATTTTACTATCTTCAGCATATTTGTGAAACAAAATCTGGCTGAACTCTTCAGACTTACATGAGCTGCCTCGTCGCGCTGAACTCAGCTGAGATCGCAACACCTTTACAGCTAGGTTGGCTGCTCGTAGATCATCCTCGAGTTTCTTCAGGTGGTCCCTTGGCACTGACGTCACACCAAGGCCTATCCACAAAGGAAATACGGGTATATACATGTACATGTAGCACGAATAAGGCACAATCTTGGACAGGTGTTCTTTATGCATGCATGTTACCATGTCGATCGAGAGTTTTCATGCACGCAGTTGGCAATGAAAGGTTGTTTGTGCTAGCATGGCTCATACACCACAGCTTTTAATTGGATTTCGTGGATAATCTAACTTCCAAAGCCGTTCATGTTCTTAGGCTGAAATGAACATGTTGAACTTTAATATACATGATATTGTACTAGTAATATAGTACACAAGAATCGCAGCGCTACAACTACATGAAAAACACAAGGGAACAAAACAAAAAAGAAATGGAAGTAACGTTAGTGGTATTGACGGCTGACAATTCGCTAGTCAATCAGTCCAATGTCTTTGTAAAGTTTTTTTATTGTTTTGATCCTTATGAGCCACCTGGCAACTCACCCCGATCCACTGTAGGTAGCAAAGCTGGTGCTTGGGTAGTTGGAGGCAGGGTAGTGTCAGGCGGAGGCTGTGTGGTGGGCTCCGGATTATATCCCAGGTACACGTGACAAGAGTCCTGATCACAGCACGGTTCCACTGGGTGAACATGAACATCAGTAACATCACGGATCATTACATACATTGGACACTAGAGTTGTTTGTCACGTGACTGAATTTGTGTAGAACGGGTGATCATGATGGTCATGTGGACAGGAGAACCAACATGACCGACATCACGTGACCCATACAGGTAGATGCAGGGGTTGAGTGGAGTTGGAATCAAAAATAGCTGCCCTGCTTGGTCACGTCATAGATATTAACCCACTTTATACTGGGTTGCTTAATTGTAAAAACAAAAGCAAAAACAACAGCACAATTAAGTAAAACAAGCGTTTCTGAGACAGCAGGTTTACTATAGCAACAAGGAAGACTAATTGCACTGTAAGTATTTCCTAAATGTCGACGTGTATGAGTATAATGTGAAACGATGATCACAAGGCGCACAACGAATGGCAATTTCCCCCTTCTTTCACTTTTATTTGTTCATACAAGATTTGCTTCAAGTAGTCCCCATTGCAATGTTCGTAGAGTCACTGATGAATGTAACAAGAAAACAGATCTGAACAAATTCTCTCTTTCCCTTTTCGTTGTGTGCCTTGCGATCATCGTTTCACATTTTTACTCATACATGTACATGACTTCGACATTTAGGAAATGCTTCCAGGGCAATTAGTCGCCCTTGTTATAACACATTAGCAAACACTGTATTATTGGGTATTCGAGGAGTGTCGGAAATACAGAAAATGGCCTTGAAGACTAACGAACATGTAGTAATATGCTTTAGGTGATAGGCTTACTCCACTCCACGTGGGTCCTTATACATATACTACGTTGAACAGAACATGCAGTTTTGACTTCAACCAAACCACTGTGAGGGGGTTTGTGAGGCCGCTCAACATTCTAAACCCTTCATCCCTCCATTTAGGCCAGTATCTCAGTCTTTTTTTCTCTTTTTTTTACTATTGACACAGCCCTACTGGAAAACAGGTGGAGAACAAAAAGAAACGAGGAAAAGGACAAAACATAGGGGATGTAGGGACGAGGTGCTGATGTGCTGGGAGCAACTCAACCGACCAGAGGTCTCGGCGTCAGCGTTGCAACTAGGCATCGAAAAATGTGTGTGTGTGTGGGGGGGGGGGGGGGTTGCACAAGAACAACTGCAAAATGAACAGAAGCTAGAGTAGACCACAAATAATAACTTGGTGCGAAATAATGAGGAGAAAATAATGACGCCCAAAAGCGCTAAATACGAAATTAAGAAAAAGGAAAATAATAAACCACAAAGCGCTAAAGCTGCACCAAATAATAATTTAAATTATAACTAAACCCGGGAGAATGAAATTGAAGACACCACTGCAGCTGTACGTATGGTTGATAAATATGGTGGTAAAGACACACCTGGCAATATGGCGGTAAACACACGCTGCTATGCCGGATACCGCCAGCCATGCATCGACCAGGCGCCAGGCGCGAACTGATGGTGGTGGTGGTGAGAAGGAGAGCTCTGTGCCAGAACTTTGCAGCCTAGAGAGCGTGTGTGGGCAGGCGTGTGTTTACCGCCATATTGCCAGGTGTGTCTTTACCACCATATTTATCAACCATAAGTACAGCTGCAGTGGTGTCTTCAATTTCATTCTCCCGAGTTAAGCTCCGTATGAAGACATCCAAGAAGAAGATTGCCTGATGAGTCCAGCGGGGACGAAACGTACGTCGCAATCGAGCTATGTCGTTGCTGTGTCATCATCTATGTGCCATGCGCTACTTGATGTACCAGCCTGCTATGCCGGATACCGCCAGCCATGCATCGACCAGGCGCCAGGCGCGAACTGATGGTGGTGGTGGTGAGAAGGAGAGCTCTGTGCCAGAACTTTGCAGCCTAGAGAGCGTGCGTGGGCAGGCGTGTTTACCGCCATATTGCCAGGTGTGTCTTTACCACCATATTTATCAACTATAACTAAACTGGGTGGAAAACCAAGAAATCATAACAAACAAAACAAACTAAATAAAGAATTAATAATACAAAATTAAATAATAAAAGGTAAATGAAGCCCAATATCATCAGCAGAGCCGAACCAAGCAACATGACCCGTGCCACAGTCAGGAGTTCATCCGTAGAAGTCGGTAGCCATCAGCCAGTGTTGGTGCGTGAGGTACTTATGGACATCTTCTTTGAACGTGTGGAGCCGCTTCAAGCTGAGTGGAGCGCTTACAATTTCGCTTGGCAAGCTGTTCCATACTGAGACTAATCTGCCTGATGGACACTGTTTCTAAGACTACAGACACTATTCCCCTTCGATGTGAGGAGGATTTGGTCTGGTGCTCTCGTGGTTTTCAGGTGCTCTTGTCGCGTGCTGATGCTGAGACCATTGGTGAGTGGAGTGCTTCCAGATTCACCCACACGGCTACCCTGTAGCACCCATCATCCTCTGTTTTCTTTTGTCCCTTTCATGTTCTCCCGTTCACCCTTTCCAGGTGAGGCCGTGTTATTGAAATGAAAAGAAGAAAAAAAGATGGCTTACTTGAACCACAGTAACAGTCAATGACAATGTCCCCTATTTTTCATCCATTCTTTGCCCTCTTTTAGTGTCAGTTTATACCATTTCCTCCGAACACGATCGCCCCACCCCGCTTGACATCAGTGCTCTGACACTGTTCCCACTGTCTTATAGGCCTTGGCGGATAATGCTCGAAAAGGTGGCAGATTCTGCTCGAAAAGCAGTGAAATTGGCAGAACCATACAAACCTTATGGCGGGCAATTCCTCGAATTCTGCTCCATTTCTTTATCCACATACCAAACATGCATGAAACTTACCCGAAAAAGTACCGAATTCTGCCAATTTTTCTGCCGGCATTATCCGCCAAGGCCTACTGTCTTATTCTTAAAGCACGACTTAACATTTTTTTATAAAGTTCCATATGTTTCATAGATCATCCACGTGTTCATGAGATTGGTGAGGATAACTTCATGACTTACGGTTTACTGCACGCCCACTCAGTGGCTCGTGCGAGTAAGCGTCATTGTGTCTGTGAACATGCGAGGAAGGTGGTTGGTCCAGTACCAAATAGAGGTAGATGAAGTGCCGACCACGTCGCTTGATCATCACTCGTTGCTTCGAGCGATCACCAGGAACACTGGCTAGCAGTGTATCGTAGGAACTGTAAAGTTCCGGTCGGCTGACGAGTTCTAGGACGTGTTCCGAAAACGGCGTGTCTCCATTGTTGTAGTCTCGTGGCGTCCAGTGAATGGTGACCGCTGACATCGTAAGAGAAAACCCAAAACATAGCCAGCGGCAATTCAAATTGAATGGATTAAAAATGGTAGACGAGACTGGTGCAAATGCTCCATTCTTCGGATATCTGTATGCCCACGTACATTGTAGTTGCTAGAACTTGCGAGGCATTCAAACGGAAGCAGAGGTGTTCACAATAGTTATAATATTATGACTGTTACTTCGAAGTATGTCAGACTCACGGAATCCACTCTCGGTCACACATCGATTGTCTTCTGAACTTGGAGTGAATTGCTCCACAGGTTCAACAGCTGTCTTCGTGGTAGGAATCGTGTTGACTGATGATGCTGCATGGAGCACAATAATGATTTAATAATAACTATTATCTAACAAACAGTCGGTTTCATTATCTCGTAATTCCAAAACATGTTCTGGTCTTGGCAGTGTTGTTAGGGTGTATGATTCTGCTGATATTTGTGTCGTGGTGGCTGAGTCTCGCCTTGTTACGTAATTTTCTAATCTTGTATACTGTGTTATCTTTTGACTATCAAGTTTTTAGTTTTATTTATTTATTTTTTAAATTTCTCTGGATGTTAGCAGTCTTTTTTGTCTTGGGACTTAGCTTGTGCACATTTTCGCTGCGCTAACACTCCCCTCTTCGGTCCTACGTAACCATGAACCTTCCAAGTTGGAAGGCTGTTGGTTTGCGCTCTGGAGATGTGCTAGAGCTACATGCACATGTATGTCTCGGGTCGCTGAATGTCTCAGTAGCCTGTCAGTTTTGTGCCCTATTTTCGCACTTTCTACCTGTTTATCATCTTGTTACAGTCGTGGATAGTTGCAGCAAAACTAGTTGTCATGTGTTTCTTGTCTTTATTTACACATAAGTTAGTTTGAAACTCGGATGTTGAGCCATAAATAAATGTAGAAAGGAAAAGGATATATGGATACGAGTTAAGAGTAACTATCCATCACTGTAAATGGATTCTATATACAGTCAGAAAGTGCAATAACTAGGCACAATACTGACAAGAATACTGAGACATTCGACGTCCTGACACCTAGCTTCAACACATCTCCGTAGCGCTAACCGACAGCCTTCCAACTTGGAAGGTCCAAGGTTATGGAAAGACCAAAGAGGGGAAGGCAAGCGCAACGAAAACGAGCAAAAGCTACAGTCCCAACGGAACAAAGAATGTCGATTGTTACTGGACGATGACGAGACCAGTACGATGAACCGTGAGCTGATGAGCCGTCACGAACCATACGGCGAAACGTACGTCGTGTGAAACAACTTGTTTCGTAGCCAACTAGTCCATCACAATGTCATGCATGAGGAGTACTGTAGGAGTTTGGCTTTCGGCGTGTACAATTCGTTTTCGCAAAGCTTCCCTTTCTTTACTTATCTTTGATATTTATGACCCACCCAAGTTGGGTGGTGTGCTGCTTCGAATTGCAGTTAGACCGCTTTGTCAAATATCGTACTGGTCTCGTCATCGTCCAGTAACAATCGACATTCTTTGTTCCGTTGGGACTGTAGCTTTTGCTCGTTTTCGTTGCGCTTGCCTTCCCCTCTTTGGTCTTTTCCAATTTGGAAGGCTGTCGGTTAGCGCTACGGAGATGTGTTGAAGCTAGGTGTCAGGACGTCGAATGTCTCAGTATTCTTGTCAGTTTTGACTGTATATAGTATCCATTTACAGTGATTGATAGTTACTCTTAACTCGTATCCATAATTAAGTCCTTTTCCTTTCTACATAAGTTAGTACAATTTTTTTCTTTTGTTATTGTTTTTCTCCTTTAGAATTGAGTTTATTCATTGAGTTCCTTGATAATAATTTATTTTATTTTCGCTCGCCTTGCGCAACGCTCACTGCTCTTGGAGCATTTCGAGCACTCTTGGCGGGGTTTGCAGCTCTTTATAAAAATGATTTGCTTCACGGCAACGTATTTCATTGTGAAGAGCTGCGCTTCTATTCTCTGAGCTGTGCTGAGGAGCTCTAACAGAGCGAAACAGTTGCTGTCCACAGATTTAAAAACAAATAAATTTCACGGTTCGCGTGAGACTCGGCTGGAAGCCGAGTTTTCCGCATCCGCCGTGGGAACGCCACCACCCTCTAGGATCAAAGGCGCAGATGCAGCGCCTAAACGGTGGGAGGTGAGTAGATCAGACCCACCACCAAGTGGTCAAAGACCGAAATCCCATTAGCTGCATCCATGTTACCCTCGTGCCAGGCCACGAGTTCCCAATTAACTGTGGGTCGCAGCACGGCTGGAAAAATTCCTTCCGCTTCCAAGCAGGACTTGAACCTGGTACCCTCTGTTTCTCAATCCTGGTCTTAGACCATCCCACTATGCCTGCCTGTGTCCACAGATTTGAGTACTTTCAATTATAAAAAACAAGTGATTTGAAGTTTTTTGGTTTGGGTTTGAACATCTGGCTTTTACACATGAAGTATTTTGGTTCCTTCTCCAGTGTTTGCTTTATTGCATTTTTAATCTATTGTGTTAATTTTGCCTGTAAAAGAGGCTTCTTAGCTATAAAACATCTGTACTTGTTTATCGCTGCCTGATTGGACTGGCTAGCTCCCTTTTGTGTCATCGCTTTACCTTGCGAGCAAATTGTGAGCAAATGGTCCCCTCACTGCATCTGGGAATTCCCTAGTAAAACAAGAACAAATAATAATTAATAATAATCGTGATGTACCTCTATGCTATCTCTTGCTGGCTTTTGCACCATGACGGTTTGGGCCATCTGGTAAAAAGGAAAAATGTTCTGTTGGAAGAAATGTTTCGTGATGATCACTTTGTTGAACTCGGATGGTGAGCCAATTCAATTATGGCAAAAAAAGGAGAAGGACAACATGTTACGAGTTATGACCAACTGTCCACCAACGTAACCAGATCATGTACAGTCAGCGAGTGCGACACAATAGCACAAAACTGACAAGGAGTACTGGTTCCCTCTCGGGCCTTTTCGAACCTGAGCCTTCCAAGGTGGAAGGCTGTTGGTTTGCGCCTTGGAGCAATGTTGGAGCTAGATGTCAGGGCGCTGAATGTCTCAGTACTCCTTGTCAGTATTATGCAATTTTGTCCCACTCGCTGACTGTATAATGATCTGGTTACGTTTGTGGACAGCTTGTCTTATCTCGTAACATTTTGTCCTTCTCATGTTTTACGATGATTGCTTTCGGCGTGAAACTCTGATTTGAGATTGTTATACCTTTTTGGTTCAACCGGATTTTCGTTTGTATAGAAGCTCCCCACGGCGTGCATTGAGCACTTTAATCCGTTTTCTAAGTTCCTCTGATTCATTGACATAAAACGTGCATGTATACTTCTAAGTATGTATCTGTAGATGCGAGAGGTCATTGTCTCTCTCCGTAGGGACCAAAAGTCTGTGGCAGATAGGCGATTATTCTCACAGCATGAATGAAACAGCTTCTGTGTCATTCACCTTTAGCCTTGATATGCCAAAATAATATTCCTCAGTTCAGTCCAAACGTCAAGAAATGACAGGTCGTTTATTCCACGCATTTTTGGAGCTACGTTCAACTGCACTAAGGTTGTACTGTAACAGCATGCCGTTGTGAATCAATGAACTGCTCACGCCGTTACGCAGTCTTGCAACCATAAACCTCCAGTATGCAGAGACCCTGTACAACTGCCACCATCATTAATTCGAGAGGCCGTATTGAACCACCTAAGTAATTCTACACAGTCATTCTAGGCAGAATCACGATTGAATTTCGGAATCTTTAGTCTTTTTTTATCTGGAGTGGCAGAGTGTTTTTGTTCATTCTCCGAAAACGCAAGTAGGTGAAGAAATTGGTGGTAGCTGCAGTTATTCTTCTGTGAACAAGGTGGTCTCCACACACAAGTACAATGAGCTACGCGTTCGCCACGGCATCCATGGTTGCCATGCTGCTCGCCGTGATTTGGCAGCCAGCACTGACTAGAAGTCTGAGAGCGGAGCCAAATGGCACTGCGGACCATGAACCAGGTAAGAATTGAGGAGAGAACGAAGGCTGTCTTAACCTTTAAGCTATAGAGTAACAATTGATACGGTATACCACTGTTCAATCCATGCTGTCTTCATGTCCGTACACTGAGACTTGGCTCACTATCATGTACAATGTAGCTTTATCTAAAAGAACAAAAGGTTAGACAGTTATCTAAGCCTTAAGATCCTGAAGCTGCCTAGAGTGTTCTATTTACAGTAAAAAATCACTTTCTTGTGAGACTGGTCTGGAAGCCGAGTTTTCCGCATCCCCTGGAACGCCACCACCTGCTTGGATCTTGTCCAGTAAGCAGAGCCAGTAATACAATACTAACAGAGGAATGTCAAGAATAAGTCCTTTTCTGACGGTACTGGGAGTTTCAGGCAGCATGACCATGCAGCCTGATGATGAGTGTTTCTTAAAACTAGCATGAACCTCCGAGTAATGGCATCATTGCCGTGTGAGTTTTGTAAGAGTAAAGAGTAAAGTTACATATTTCCAGGCCAGGAACTCAGATACTCTTTTGTTAGTGTGAAGGCTCTTTTAAGTGCAACAAAATGTACTTGTAGCTGATTGAAAAACAACTACATAAGTATGTACCCATCTGTGGATGGATGCGTGTGTGTGTGTACATGTATGTGTATGCTTGTACATACACCCAAATTGTGTGCACGTGGGTGCATGCATGGGTGCGTGCAGGCGTGTAGCACAGAATGAAAAGTGTTAATTAACCCATTGAAGCCTGTTACCGTCCATAAGCGTCATCACGAATGACGCTCCACTCATACTGGCCAGAATGTGTCATTTGCTGTGTTTTCAACAGGAAATGGATCGTGCATGACTGCTGTTCTCCGGCTTCTGCCGATCAGAACGCACAGCGTTGAGAATACTGAGCTGCTCCTGAAAAGCATACCGCCACCGGTGGATCAGCTAAACGCGGCCAGCGCCAATCTCCCGATCCTCTCCGCACTGCTAGGTGGCCTCGCGCCAGCCAAGATGCTCATAAAGTGCCTCAGTTAGTATCTATGTTCATAATCTAAGCCACTACAGCAGGCGTCGGAGTCATGCAGCTCCTCATCCATTACTACAGTTCCGCTTGGTGAAATCCAACCCAGACCAGAGTGCACATTAATAATTAATTTTGGCGCAGTCAATTTTCCCGGCCCTTGACGCCCTGGATATGTAAGGAATGCACCTGAACATACATGTGCACAGCCATGTACGGAAATTCATACAATGATGACTGTAGGCAGAACTGGTACATGGCGCCAGCTTTGCACTTTGGGTCGGATTTCACCGAGCGCAACTGTAGTACTAGTATCTGAATATCTGAGCGACGTGTTGTGAACGTGTTAGGCACCGGCGGATTATGCCGGCATATTTATTGGCATAATTTGGTGGTTGAAAATTTGGAGCATAATTTGGCATCCTCTCGGAGGTAGGAGCATGACTACATGATTGTACCACCGTTCTAGTATGTAGGCTATACAATTGTGTACAATGCACCTAAATCAGTGATGGTGGTCTGCATGGTTACGGGTTCGGAGGTCATGCAGATAGTGTTTTCAATGAAAATCAGGGTGGAAATCATGGCAATACACTATTGTATGCTCGAACTAGCCTTCTTCCAAAGTTCTTTCTCACGTTGATACAGTACATGTGGCAGAAGATGCGAGTGAATCAGCCTTTATCAGGTATCCTGGCCCCTGGGGCGGACGAGATAGTGACGGGTAGTCCGCAAAACTCCGCGTACATGTACATTATGCATGTTACGAAGTCATGACGTCTGGATTTTAGCAGCCATGACTGGGCGCTGCAGGCTATGGATATTGCTCTCATAATTAAAAAAACACTTGAAGAGGTATAGTTGATGTTCGTCCATTATGGAAGTAGAGGTGGAGCTACGGGAGAGATGAGCTGATTATTCGCAGGGTGAGGGTGACATCGGTTGGACGAGTATGGCGATCATGAAGGCAGTTGAACATAGGGAGGGCCCAAATATGCTAAAACATTTCGCATATTTTGCTTATCGCATATTGGCCACTTGCTTCAAAATATGCTTCGAAATCACGCAAAAGCAGAAAACACATGCTCGAAATATGCTCGAAATATGAACTGATATCAGTGATAATAATAATCGAATTCTTTGCCCCTTGTAGCAAAATATGCTACATTTGGTACAATATGCTAGATTTGCTACTTTATGCGACCCTTGAGTCGCGGACACTCTCTTCTCGGGTCAATTTTTCGGGGCCAGCCCCGTGTTTGGATGAGCATTTTTCCTTCCGGGCTAAGTTTGGAAGTGTTCCCTGACCGAGGCCGTGGTTAGTTTCCGTGTCCATTTCCGCAATCTGCCCTATAATTATGCGAATTCTTTGCTCTTTGTAGAAAAACATGCTCCATTTGGTACAAAATGCTAGATTTGCTACTTTATGCGACCTTGTGTCAAAAGGACCAAAATATGCGAAAATATGCGAAAGCATATTCGGGCCCTCCCTAGTTGAACATGATCTTTTTCAAAGGTAACTCAAACTAATTTGACATTGAATGAAAAAATCTTTTCTTTTGCAAAAGAAGTCCACTAATGAATACTGAGAAGAAGTAATGCTTTCTCTTTTCCATGTTGATCTCTAGCATGCAGGGACACCTTGGTATGGGGATACTCATGTAATATTTTGTTGTACTTATGACCACTTGCAAGTATGAAAAATGCACAATTTTCCGAACTTTGGCGCTCCGTAAGTACAACAAATTGAATATGTATCCCGCGTGCCAAAGCATAATTTCATTTATTACTGCTTTCTATCTGCATTCGCCACCTTTTCATTGGGCAGATCTGCCCGTTTGGTTTGCGAATTGAAATAAACACAACAACAACAACAACATAATATGAGGATTTTGCGAGCATAATGCGAGAATCCATGAAGGCATAATTCCATAATTTCGCGAGCATAATCCGCCGGAGCCTAGAACGTGTATGTTCATGCATTTCAATTATGTGTTGTAAACTTTCTACTGAGAGAGTGTGAATGTATTCTTATGTGTATGTACCTACGAATACACTCATGCATGCAAAAGGCCATACGATTCTCACAGCACTACATTTTATATCACATTGACAGTGAAACATGGATGGTACATGTGACTCGTAAAACAAAGACAGTTGCACCTTTGCATATACTAGCCAGTGATACGTACATTGTAGATTACCGGCGCTGGATTACACCTCAGTAACACCATTTTGCCTGAAAAACTGCTACGAACTGATTTTGCCACATTTCATGCTGCGTGAACACAGCCGGTCAGTTGGAAGCATGTGAATCTCATCATCCATGCAGCAATGCAGGAGCGTGTGTCTTCGCAGCGTCCGAGATGCATCAGGGCCGCTACCAATGCCACTGCAACCCTGGTCACACTGGCAGATACTGCCAAATAGGTGAGTACTGTCACAGCGCAGCTGGCACGATCCTGAACGCATTTTAGCAAGGTATTACATCTGCACAATGCAAGCATTTTCATATTGGAATGAAAGTTGTAAGCATGTGAGTTGATGTGAATTTGGAGCGCCAGGTGCTTTGTGTGTTATGAACTCCTAGTACCGTACCTAACTGATCACAATGAACTCTAGTCTAATGAGCATTGAGGCATATTGCAAGTCAGCATGCTGTACATGCAACTGCTATAAGTGCATGGAGCTTTCAGTCTTCGATTTGAAACAACTCTGGAGCAGTTCAGTACAGCGTATCATGCATATGCACTGCTTCTTCACTCATACTCAAAGCTTCCTCGACATTACATACAAATGAGCTTAGTCTCAGCAGGGGGATCGCTGCACTGAACAATCATGAACAAGAGATAGAGATACACTGTACTCGAGAAGGTACAGTGTAGTTCATTTGACAGGCTACGTCATGTAACAGTTAGAGAGGTTAGGTCATTACGTCATAAACTGGTTTGGCCATTCAATCGAAACCTAACTCGTTATACCATAAGATCGTACCTAATAGTTGCGCCATATCATCGTGACCTGGATGTGTTTGTACGAAGTGACATCACAAATACTGAACTACAGAATTAGGACGATTCGATAAAGGCCTATTACTTGAATCACCAAACATTGAAATGGAGTTCGTAGGTTAAGATCAAGATATGGCGCACAACCGTGTCCCTATCTGCAGTGCAGTGAAATACCCAGCACAGATTTAATAATACTAAGAAAACGATCTTCTTCTGCTTGCGAAGCCCTAGAAATCCCTCCAGAATACTTCTTGTATTCTCTATCCTTACATACATACTTATCCGTACCTACATCATCTCACTTTTAAATTATTAATACCTCCATTTCTATTTAATAATCTCTCGATCTCGATCTCGTTCTCTGATTCTCTATTTCTCTACGTACATTATCTACAAGTATCTATCTCGTTATCTGTCTCTCTTTCCATCTATGGTTCTCATTTTTCTCTCTCTTTCTTTCTCTTTCGCTCTCTCTCTGTCTCTCTTTATCTGTCTCTCTTTTGCTCTCTCCCTCTTTCTTTTTCTCTCCCTCTTTCTCTCTCTCACTCTTCCTCCCTCTCTTTGTCTATACCGTTCTCTCTGTCTCTCTCGGCCTCTAACGTTCTCTCTTTGTCTCTTTATGTCTCTCTGTCTCTGTCTCTCTGTCTCTGTCTCTCTGTCTCTGTCTCTCTGTCTCTGTCTTTCTTTTTCTCTCTTTCTCTCTCTCACAGCCACGCCATCTTGTACAAGACAACCCTGTGCGAATGGCGGTACTTGTGAAACAACAGCATTGTCATACCGGTGCCACTGTATGCCATTCTACTCCGGGAAGCATTGCGAGAACAGTGAGTGATTGCGTATGCGGTACGTGCTAGACGTGAACGATAGGTAGATCGACAGACGAAAAAGAGATTACTCCTTTGAAGTCTTTTCGCATTATGTGAATGCATATATTATACTTGCAACTGTATCTACCTAGGTCCAGGCAATAACTCAAATGATTTCCATTATTCGTGGACCATTGCGGAACTAGTTTGAAGCCCACAATTGTAAAGGAACACCCAAAACCTACTCTAAACATCTGGGTCCCTCTCTGCCATGGGGAAGTTGGAAGCCTTCCAATTTCGCATCTTCCCTTATCGCATCTTTGGGTCATCTGCGGATCATCTGCAGGTCTCCAAGATGCCCCCAGCAGCACAAATCCTGACAATGATAATGTGAATGCAGATGTCTCTTGTTAGATTCAGCATACTGAGGTGTAGCAGTGGAGAAGTATTTGAAGTCTAGCGCTGGGAGGCATTCACCATCCATGTAATCGGTTATTTTCTGCCATCTCCTATACGTTCATTTGACCATAGAATGGATCGATGAGGAGATGTTTAGTTCACTTTCAACAACAGTTAACAAAATTGCTAAGGACCTGACGCATCATAAGCAGCACTCCCGGCACCATCACGCCAAGGCGATCAGCCAGATGGAAACGATTCTAAAAAACCTGGAGCGAAAGATAGTTTTCAACATCACGTCGAGCCTAGCTGAGCTGAACTCACGTGTGGTGCAATTGGAAGCAGAGCATCAAAATGAGGTCAGTGGCAGCAACACTAATACGGTAAATTGTACTGATACTTGAGACTCAAACCCGCATTGCCATTCAGAAACCATCCATTGATGTTTACAATGGTCTACAGTCCATTCATAAAAAAATGGGTCCTGGCTCTGGCGAGCTCCCGTATTTGGCGATTTTTCGTGATTTCATCGTACACAGTGCAGTGCTGCGAACTTTGAAATTTGAAAAAGGGTCCAAAAAGGGTGCCTGAACTGGGGTTCGAACCGCAGAATGCACTGTTGCAGGCGGGGTCAAACGGCCTGGATTTTGATGGTTTTTCCCAATTCAGTGCTTTTGGGGCAAAACCTGGCCGAAATCCTATTCTTGCTATGGCTTGCTTTTTGGACAAAAAAACTTCAGAAACATAATTGGAAGAGGATTCCATATGGGATTGCAGAAAAAAATTCTAAAAAAACTCAACGTTTGACCCATTTATGGCCAAAAGCTAGAAGTTCATTTTTTTCTGAATGGACTGTAGTAATGGCGTTTTGGGGTACTTGTGTGTTGTGTGTGTGTGTGGGGGGGGGGGGGTAATCCTTAGCCCCACACAAGATCCAGTGGCAGAAAATCCATCTCCACTAAGAGTTTCTTGCTTCTCGCAATCAGCACCAATCTATGCTCAGCAGATTACCCAGTGGATCGTAGACCTAGGGTGGACCGTTTTGGGTTTCCTTCGAGTAGTATTCTATTTTTGCTGTCATGTTCGTAGACGCGGCCAATTTAGCTTTCTCTAATCCTTTAGATACTGTGTGAAAAGGATCGTTTTTCCCTCTATATGTACAAGGATACCAGCGGCGAGTTGTGTCGAATACATACTGCCTGTGGTCGCATTACTGCACAATCGTACCCAAGGCAAACTAAACACATCCGCAACCAGCCCACTATTGTGAGATGAATATTGCATAGCGGTTGTGAATGATCCTGTGCAGTGTAACATAGACATGTTTGTAAAGGCTTGAAGCCGAAGTAGGTGTAACTGAGCATGCAGAGAGACGTGGGAGTACTACTTTACGTGCTCCAGGTGGATTTTGTACATCATGAAAGCATTCCAGGTGGATCTAGTGTGAGCGAACTGGGTAATTGCCTTTTCAGGCCAAACAAATATAACAGGATCCTTTAGACCTTGGGCAAGTAAAATCCTATGTTAAGGTTACCAACGCACCACTGCCTTCTTGTTTCCTGGGTCATTTCTTATCTGCACAGCCTATGATGGTCACTACACCAGCCTATATCCCAACTCCACAAGGTAAATGTACATTTACATAGAGATCTATTTGAAAATGGGCAAGAAATCATGTGTTCAAGTTTTTGAAGATAGCCATGGCCAGTTCTGCGCATCACATGGCTACACTCCAGCACATTGGACAGCTCCCGAAAACAATGGCGATGCATGCACCCCATGGTGTAAAAATAGCCTTCATTATCTGTCTGTACAGAAAAATGCGATGAAATGCTTGTGATACCTTTCCCTCCGACTAACTTATAAATATTTGTAAGTTATACTTTTGCATAATATTTAGTGGTGACCTGATATTTGCATCGAGTGTCTAACACGCTTATACCATCGTAACACTCTTGGTTTTTGTGAGTTATAATTATTATGTTGCGCCTTGATCCGTGAAGGGTGGTTGCGTTCCTGCGGATGCGGATAACTCGGCTACTAGCCGAGTCGTATGCGAACCGTTAATTTTTTTTGTTGGTGTGGTTTGCTTCTCTCTGTAGCGTCTACCACAGATGTTGTTGTTGTTGTGTTGTTGTTGTGTTTATTTTAATTCGCAAACCAAACGGGCAGATCTGCCCAATGAAAAGGTGGCGAATGCAGATAGAAAGCAGTAATAAATGAAATTGGGGACTGATGTAATTAGGATAGAGGTGGAGAAAAACTGTCATCGACAGTAGTGAGCAATGCTCACGAAGGGATCGTGGTCCATCCGGCGTTTTCATAGGCAGCACCAGCTACGGACCCTTCACTGCCTACTGTGATCGAGTGACCGATGGAGGTGGCTGGACTGTGTTTCAGAGGAGAAAGGATGGCTCAGTAGATTTCTTCAAGGACTGGGATGCGTACAAGCAAGGCTTCGGATCAGCTGCTGGTGAATTCTGGCTGGGTTTGGATATAATTCATTCCTTGACTTCACAAGCTGATCAGAGATATGAACTGCGCATAGACATGATTGAAAGCACATCAGAAAGCAAGCTAGCAATCGGATATTCCTCGTTCAGAGTCCACAATGAGAGCGATGGGTACCGGTTGCTTGTGTCCGGATTTTCCACCTACACAAGTGATACGACATTGGGAGACTGGATTGGCAAGCACAACAAAATGCAGTTCACCACATTTGACCGCGACAATGATCAGTTCACAGGAGGCAACTGCGCTCGTGCCTACACCGGTGCATGGTGGTTCAAGCTATGCCAGGCAATCAATTTGAACGGCCCCTATCGCAGACATGGAAATGCGACTGGGGTCACATACAGCTTCCTTGGGCGAACCGTGTTGAGGCTCGTTGAACTGAAGTTTCGAAAGAAGGTGTGACGTGCACTACACATTGCCAGATATCGGAAGGAAGACATTACCACAGCTTCGCGCATCCAAGTAGACGGAGTATAACACATCAGTCGAAAGCCATTGTCCTTCGTTCTACTCATGATGCTCGGCATCGATATATTTTGGCACTTTCTTCCTTTTTCGCACTCATCCATGTATCCAGTTACAAATATATAATATGGTGACGTCATTCCTTCTAGTTCCCAAACATGCATGCTCATCTGCCTATCTAAGCTATGTGTGTGCACTCACGCCATGAAAGGTTTCCCCTTTTTCGAGTAATGCCTGATATAAATTCTCTTCCAAATCGTTCAAAATCAATAAATGCCCTCCTTCTCAATTCCGGTGTCCAGAAGCCTCTCATTTCAAACTCATAGCATTTTCTCACGTTTTCACTCGAAATACACGAGTGTGTGTTTTCCTGCTGAAGCCTTGTTATCTCATTATCCTTTTTGTATCTGTGTCCCAAAATCTTGTGTGACGGTTCTTTCGGCTTGATAATTCCTGGTTTAGTGTTATCCGTTGCGCAATTGTAGGTGTTGGAAGCTGTGTACATTCGTACGCGTGACCCTGTGCTATGCAAACCGGACGAAAACGCATCACTGACACCATTCATGCATTACACAGGCACCATCCTATTCATCCACACAGCTATCAAATTCGTGAGTCACTACCTTTCTCACACACACAAAATTCACGCAAAAGAAAGGCATAAACTTCGCTATTTGTACTTGCTCGCTACTATATTCATACTTTACCCGTGAAACCATTTACATGTAAGCTATAATGGGGTGTTTAGTTCATTACGTACATGTACATGTACGTGCCGGCATTCCACTGATGATAATCACGAGAAAATGTTATGAAGTTAAATTTCTTCATTTCCGATGTTGTTCTGGGTCCACAGTCACATTTCTGTAATCCTATTCATTGCTACTTTGCGACTTTTGTACCCTCCTGAAAAACCTTACGCTCACCATGCTCAAATCTAGTGGTCTCTTTGCTACCAGCACTGAACACAGCACTTCTTTGACATCGTGAATACAATGACAATTATTGAAAATGACAAAATGCTGCAACGACAGCGATCGACTTCAAGTTCTCTCTGGCGGAGCTAAGCCGATCGTGCGCTTGGCGATTTGGCAAGTTTGGCTTATCTTAGACAAGCAAGAGATATGCCATTCAAACCGATATCAAAATTAATTGTCTTTGACAGTGCATGATTCTGCTGTGGCTAACCATCTGGTCCAGATTAGTGATTGTTGTTCCAGTCATACCGATGATTGTTTCCCGTTTGTCCTCGTTCACGTAGCCAAAGATATTTGCGTGTTTTGGAGTCCATCTACATCTTTACCACTAAGTCGGTCCTGTGTGTTAAGAAGAAGAATTTGTTCACACTGAAATTGTTTGTAAATTTAGATCGGTAGTTCTGTCATGTTTGCACGGTTGTTTTCTGGTTGTGAATTTTCTCATTTTTTTGTCACCTGATGTTTTCGGATGTTTTCGTTGTTATAATAATTTCTCTCAGGTTCCATTTGTTCGCGCTGGATAGGCTCTAATTTATTACTCTGCAGTTGCGTAAAAATATTGTGTTTGATGAGATTGCCTCGAAAACGTTCAAAGACGTTGCATACATGTACTTTGAAGTACAGTGTATTATGACAAGTAGATTTTGCTCATAGGTGTTGTTCTGAGTGCACAACTTACTCTTTCCATATGATGTTTATGGAGAAGTCGAGTCGTATCTCCCATTTCTGACTCTGAACATTTTGCTCAGATTCGTTTGATTTCTACTTCCAACCTTGTTTCCTTTTATGACGAGTAGAGCAACGTACCTGTACATGTACCTATAACAGCCTGATTTCCTGGTTTCTTCAGTCAGTTTTGAGTCTCACCAGTGTCACATCTGGCTGCGGCCAACTACCCTTCACTTTGTGTGTTGTTGCTATTGCTGTCTATGTCTCTGTGTATGCCAGTATATGTGGAGCGAGAAGGAATCAGAGCGTTTCTGCTGTGACTGAATTTCACGGTTTGACCGATCATCAGACTGCAAAAGCTATCAGGTTGCTGTCTTCGTTCTTTCAAGTCTGTGTACATTGCATGACATGACATGACCAGCACGTAATCGGTGCCCGGGACGGGTGGTCCTGCTATGGACCATATTTCGAAAACACGTGACCCACCCAACTCGCGCAAAGCGGTGTCCTTTGGTGAATATTGTTATTTCATTTCCGGCCGAATATTCCGTTTGGCTGGACCACCTGAACATCTGGTCTACTGTCGTCATACAGCTGGGTTGTGAGGTCTATGTACATGTGGCCGTTATCTCTTCCATTATCCATTACCGTGACACTATCTTGACCTTTTCGTACTCGTCAAGTTTTGCCCATTGTTATACATGCATACATCCACAAAGGACGAAACAGTTCTGTCCGCAGATTGTGCATACATGCACATGTAAGTTATACAGCTAGGACCGGGGATCCTTTTGATACTACTTCAAATTTCAGGCTTGTTCACGATCACTGAGCAGCGTAAAGTACCCGCGTGGATTAGGTATATACCAGTGTATGTGTATCATTTTCCTCGCAATGGCAGTAAAACGAAATGACGACACGAACGGAAAGACCTGCGGGCAAAGTAGGTTAGGGTTTGTTCATTGTTGAAGTTCTGTACCTGGCGCTTCAGTGACACTTGGGTGCTGTGTTCCTGTGATGGCTGGCAGGTCGATGTTGCATTGCGCTTGATTTCCTTCAGGTGTGTAACAGTGGTCCACTGGAGAAAAAGGTAGAGCAATCACACGGACATGTGCATTGAATTGTGAGCGTATCAAATCAATTTCACTGCGTATTAAGTTAAGTTCAAAGGACCGGAGAGAGGAATTCAGGGAGGTGACTAGACTAACGTTATATTTTTGAATGCCTTATTCAAAGGGACCAATAACTTCATTGTCGTGGAATGGACTCAAACTGAATACAATGCGTAAAGAACTGAACATATTGAAGTTGACGAATTTATTGGCCTGCCCAAAGTTTGTTTCAACAATGCAATACAATCACTCACATGCAAAGACACCACGAGCCAGTACGGTATAGGTTGTCGGAGAGGGTAAGCTTTGGAAAGCATTGTCCCACGCCGCTGAATCCAAAGCGGCCACCAACATGACCTCGTGACTTCCCGTGTAGGAAATGTGAACATCTGCAGACAGAGCCGACGCATCCACGTTGTTCGCCACCACCGCGGGGAGAAGTCTTCCAGGACTGTGGGGAAAGTTTCTACTAATCATGATGCCTAGCCGTTGACTGGGCGGCTGAGCAATACGGTCCCAGGTGATACGTGCAGCTGTGTACAGGAGGCAGGCAACACCAATACGGCTCATTATCCCAATACCGATAAATATAAACAGATTGTACTGTATATACCCTTGAATTCAGATTATCCTACACGAGTGTAAGAGCAAACATTGAAATTATTAACTGAAGAGTCCTCAATAGAAACAACTTCGAGAATACGAACACGTTGTAATGTGTTTGTAGCACTTTCAATGCCATGGAGGTGAAGCAATTTGGTTCATCATACGTCTAGCACAGGTTGTAGGCACCAGTAATCGCTTCATCTATAAATTATCTCATCATGCGTCACTTCCACTACTAATTTATTATCAATTCGAATTTGTCTAATGGGAGGTCTAAGCACATACCTACACTGACCATCACGTGCTAACCATTCCTTCAGCCTCTACCATATGAGTACAGCTGCACTGTTAACGGCCCTTGTACAAATAGAAATACCATCCAGTTCATTGATGCACGTCTCTGGAACAGACTGCCACCCACCATGCGTTGTGACCCGAACCACGACCAGTTATGTGTCCTCTCAAACGTATATGCTCAGCGATTTGTAAGTTTTTCCCGCCTGCATTCATTTGCGTGGCAATGTCTGCAGTTTTCTGCAATAACTTAGGTTTGTGATTGTATTGTTTCTCCCTCTCTTTCCCAATGTTTGTATCATTGTGCTAAGTCCCTCACATAAGAGAAAGCGCTACCGCCTGTTTGTGCTCCGACTTTCAATAAATTCGACAACAACCACATCGACAATAACAACAACAACAACAACAACAACAACAACAACAACAACAACAAAAAGTAACAGACTAAGAGCATTAATGGACTCACCGAAGCCATCTCCAAAGGCTCCTTCGCCAGACCAGCTCAAAGGATCAAGGCCATCTGTTGCAGAAAAAGAGCCAAGGTGAAATAAATTGACTTGAGTTCAACTGTAACGCGACTGCAGCCCATCAATTTCGATGGCAAATTCGGAAGCAAATCATGTTTCTCAAGATCTGGAAAAGAAGTACATGCACATTTTCCTTTTCTCTCTCTCTATCTTTCTCTCTCTTTCTTTCCTTCTCTCTCTCACTCTTACACTCTCTCTTTCTCTCTCGCTCTCGCTCTCTCTATCTCGCTCTCTCACTCTCCTCTCTATCTCTCTATCTTTCTCTCTCTTTCTTTCCTTCTCTCTCTCACTCTTACACTCTCTCTTTCTCTCTCGCTCTCGCTCTCTCTATCTCGCTCTCTCACTCTCCTCTCTATCTCTCTCTTTATCTCTCTCTTTATCTCTGTCTCTCTCTCTCACCCTCTTACTCCCCCTGTCTCTATGTCTCTCATTCTCTCTCTCATTCTCTCTCTCAGCATGAAGCTGTACGAACGTCGCTAAGACAATCTGTGCTGTTAATGCTCCTCTGCGTCGCTATTTCATACAAGGTGTTGGTTGAGATTCCTCCTGGCACTGACCGTATAAATCAGGTAATCATAGATATGTTTTATGTACTTCACTAGAATTATGTTCTCATACCATTGTTCTCGTTCGAACCGGGTACACAACTCAGGGTCACGTAGTCCCACTTCCCAGACTCGCAAGTAAGGCTGAGGTCATCGTGGCAATGGGACCCTGGAATAATCCTGTGGAACGCAAAGAAGCAAGGATAAGCAGCAGGTATGGTATTGAGTCGATAATGAGTCTTCAGTGATCTAGCACCACATTCGTGGCACGCGCTATGTGAGTGTGCGACGAAATAGACAGAGGAGCAGGTCATCATCGTGTAAACCTTCTAGGGAATGTCCACCAGGTGGCTTACCTTTCTAGTTCACACGGTTTTCGGCGGGAAAGAAAGGTAGGTGAAGTGAAGGACTACATGCATATGCATGCCCGCTGCTAAATACCTCTAGAATAGTGTGAGGTCAAGTTAAAGTTAGTCCTTAGTACATTATGACCGTAGGGAGAAAATGTGTCGTAACTGAAGTAAAGATTATTATTATTAAAGAGATCTCCTGTCCAAGATTGCATAGCACGAAATTCAAGTCGTCTTGCACAATAATGAAAAAGGTGTATTATTATATCGGGTTTTCCTGGAAAGGCATTTATCACAGCTCATTTTTTTATAGAAGACGTACCATCAAAAATGGTGGACCATTATCGAAATTGACATTTCCTCACTTACCAACAAGCCGACAAGGCAAAGAGAAGGATAATCATTTTTCAAAACCGTAGGCCAGGTCTTGCAGTAGCTTCGCTGGTTGTAGGCTAGCTCGTAGTTCCCCTCGATTGTTGCAAGACTGCTAGCGAATATCATAACTCTGTGCACCGCCTAGGAAATGTTGTGTCTTATAGCCAAGGATCTTGCCCCTAGGCTTGCTTGATCACGTAAAAGGAAGCTCTGTGTAACATATGCTGCACTTCATCAATGGCCATCTGAGTGTGTGCTAACATATCGCGTACGGAGCCTGCATGGTATTCCGTGTTTGAGGGGCGAGAGATGGTTATGCACGGATGATTTTGACATACATGTATATGTACAACCTTACAACAGGGTGATAGGCCCGCCCCCGTGCCTGTACTGTAGCTATCAATCACAGCGTCAACCGTGCACAAAGACAGTGTAATTTTACACCCCCGTGCCATCAGCATGACACCCTTGGCTGAGAACATGATTGTGTCAGTGTCCTGCATTAGCAGAGATCAATCTGTCACATGTCTAAGATCATGAGTTGACGAAGCAGGATAATGATGGCAACGACAGGTACATTGTTCATGTAGGAAAGTGTCATTTTTAGGCATATTCTTCGACCAACACTGCGAACAGGAAACCCCGACAACCCGTACAACGTCTATCACGTTGTATCTCATGACCAACGTACGTGTATGTCTGCGGCCTCACAGTATCCAGGTAATGCGTTGAAGTGCAAATATTCTCTGTCTGCATCAGGCATATTCCAAGTATCTTTGCACAATTCAATGTCAGTCCAACACGATTGGCATATACATGTACATGAACATGGCTTTGATTTTAAACTGAATTCCTTACGTGCGAATGGGCCCCATGATACTTTCTCGATGTTTTCCTTTCACGGAACAATTGCATATGCCGATAATGATCCTGAAGTCAATACCGTTATAATCTTGTAGGATTCCCGTACTGCAAAGGGAGTTCTCTTGAATTCCGAACTCATTCATCAGCATGATGAAATAAAATGGACAGAGTGCACAATTCCCGGGAGTTGAAAGACTGAACCACACCACACAGAACGCAGTGTCATTTGCAACGAACTCAAGTCTCCCAAGCACTGTGCGACAATTATTGAGGCTTTATACGCACAAATGTCGGAGGAGATGTCTCTAGAAATATTCTGACCAGGTGTTGCTGTGAAGAATAGAGCACCGCAAGCCGTAGGATTAGGGCCTTTTCCTGTCACGTGCTTGATAGCCATCATGATTGTCAATTGGAAAACATTGAAATCAGAATCAAACTACTGGTGTGTGCTACGAGCCTTTCAGCAGCGAAGGCAAACTTATGTTTAGGTTTAGTTTTATCCACACCACTAGCGGGCAAGTGCGATATCTGTTTTCCAACAGCTGATGATAGTGAGAATCGACAGTGATAGGACGCTAGGACATTGCGTGTGACACGGGCTGATTGCCAACGCCCTGGTTTTGGGGAGATAGTGTGCATTTTTCCATACAGGCGAGAACCATCAGAATCCTCCTTGATCATCAATCATGTTGCTCATCACACATTAATGTAGATGTAAAAATAAACACAACAACACAACAACATGTACAGTTGCGCTCACTTGAATCCGACCCGACGTGGAAAGCTGGCGCCCTCAACGTCCACGGCCCTTGACGCCCTGGGAGTGGAATGAATGCGGCTGGACGTACACATGCACACATACAATGATGTAATCGGAACTGGTCCAGGGCGCCAGCTTTGCAGTTCGGGTCGGATTTCAGTGATCGCAACTGCACATGCATAATAATAATATGCCTATAAACCTACTAGTACTACTACCTTGTATAGTGCTGGCCAAAGAAATCCAACCTCATGAATAAAGTAGCTCCGCGTTCGAGTGCACATGACAGTGCTTTTAGTGCTAGGGCTGCGTAGTGCCCGGCGCTGTTTTAATTCACCAAGTTGGATTGCTTTCGCCAGCTGTGTTTTGTATGCCTATGAGTGCATTGTACACGTATGTGAATGGGCTCATGACCATTGCCCATTGGTTAGTCACGATACCTCCAGCCCACGGTGCTGCAGTCATACCCAAGTGCATGTTTCGTATTCATTTTTAATCTTGACGTGCTTTATTCATACATGTAGCTGCCTGAGCCTGAGCCTGTGGGCTATTAGTTATCGCCACCACTTCATTCAGTGCTTATCATGCTTTTCATGCATTCGCAGAATTACAAAATCAGTCACACTCTGCGGCACAAGCTTTTGAAGATTAACGATGCACGTGCCACAGCTAAGAGCAGGAGTAGCTATGGTATTACTAATCAACAGGCACAGTCACGCAGGCACGTCGCACCGACTTTGGAGGTGGGGCGGCCAAGGAAGGGGGGAGGGTGTCCGGAGGCGGTCCCCCTGGAAAAAAGTTCAAAACTTGAAGCCAATTGCAAGCATTTTCGGACATTTCGGACATTAGGTGCCATTTCAGTGTAACTACAGTGAAAGAATTTTGATTCTGCAACAAACAAAGAAGACGCTACGATCGGGGAACCAGGATTCCTACTGAACCACCCCAGCCAGGCTGTGACGGCCTTGCAATGTGCGTACATTATAATTATCCAGAAAGCAGGGGGGGGGGGGGGAGAGAGAGAGGTCGTACAATGGCGGTATTTGATGTTTCAATGGCAGAAAAGTAGCACCAGGGAGTCGTATAACAACGAGAACAGTCAAGTTCAGATCATGTGCTTCTCGCTGTGGATCATTATAATCATGGTTCTTATTCTTCTCTCGCTATACACCTTTGTAAATTTTCCTTCCCATGACTCTCTCCTTCTCTCTCTCTCTCTCATTTTTTTATTTTTATACTTTATTTAGTTCTCTTATTTAGTTCTCTTACTCCCCAACCCTCCCCGCTCTCTCTCTCTCTCTCTCGCTCTCTCTCTCTCTCGCTCTCTCTCTCTCTCCTCTCCTCTCTCTCCCCCCTCTCTCTCTCTATCTATCTATCTCTCTCTCTCTCTTTCTCTCTCTATCTCTCTCTCTCTCTCTCTCTCTCTCTCTCTCTCTCTCTCTCTCTCTCTCTCTCTCTCTCTCTCTCTCTCTCTCTCTATGTCTATGTCTCTCTCTCTCTCCCTCTCTTTCTCTCTCTGCTATTGGCGCGCCTGGTTGTGATGAAGCCGAGACCCAAGGTCGGCAGAGCATCCCAGACCACGCCACCACTCCCCTTATTCATGGCTCACACATGACGGGTTTACGTGGCTCTAGTAAAAAAAAAGGCTTTGTACATTGTGTACATTATAGTTGTGGCTTTTTGTCTCTAACCGTGGTGGACTCATCAGCCGCACACCTGATCTTTGTGAAAGTACTGAGTTCGTTGCAGTAACGTTTGGCCGATGTTACATGTATATGTCCTCCCGGTTAATTTCCATCTAGCTGTTTCTGGCTAGTACCAGTTCTATCGCACTTATTAATCATCCTTATTGGCGTCACGCCATCGTGGAATAAAAGAATAATAATGTCCGTGTTCTCGCTAAGCGTTAGATTAGTCCAGGCACATTACTCTGTTGGCGAATCCTTTGTTTCTTTTATGCTTCTGGATTGGATTAATTTTAATTATTGTCTTTTGTATGAATTTTTGGATTCTCCACAGGCCTTAGCCTAAACCGAGGGAGTCTCCGAATTTTAGCGATGACTACCACAGACATCTGCCTAATAACAAAAGACCCACTCGGGAAAAGGAATAATATGAAGTGAACAAAAAAGAGAATATTTTCCTGAATAAATTAATCGATATCATAGCGTGGGTTGTGTGCAGCTGAAGGTCGTCCTGGATAAGCTCCTCGTCCGTTCATACTTCCGTTTGTCGTATAATGATGGAAGAGGAGGGGTTCTCGTTTTTGGATTGGAGGATTGCTGGGCCAGTTGTTATACATGTACGTAAAGCGGGTGGTCGCCACACGCCCAACATTGCCTAGAAACGTCACTGTTCAAGCCAAGTTTAGTGTCAAGAATATTGACAAACGCTTCCTCTTTCCCCACGCTAGTAAACAGCTCCGCCTCTAAGCATAGAGGATTATTGTTCGCGCAGTAGAGCAACCTGACTTTTACAATTGAGTTGAAACCGCTTTCCTATTTCACTACTTTTAATAAAAGAAAACAAAGTCTATCCATAGCGGCACTTACTGCTGATGGATGGGCCCTTTTCCTGCCCAAATGTACATTAACATGCATTGTATAACATGCTTTTTAAAAGTCAAGGACCGTGCAGCTGTACCTCTGTACCACCATTTACACCTACCCGGCACTGGGAGAGGCTCTGCAGTTCAGTTTTCACTCGTTGGTATAGCAATGCTGAATGGCAAAGAAACGGTTTCACTGCGTGGTGCGTGTAGGCTGAACGTCTAGTTGCATGTAGCAAGGTGTCCGCCGCGGCCACAGTCGAGCCACACAGCCACCTTCTTTTTTTGCCAATGAGACTCTTGCATGTGGATCTGCTCCCGTCAGAAGCCAGTTGCCTGTCCCCGTGGGAGTACAGTCCCGGGTGCGACCCAATGACAGGTTTGGACCTTGATTTGGGAACGAACCTGTCAATTATGCGCTGGTCTGCACGGTATAGTGTGCAGTGGATACATAAAGGAGACCTGACCAAGCTCTTTTCACTCCCATATTCAACTCAGTCTAGCTGCTAGAGAAGATTATTTTCGCTCAACGCAAAGAGGATTGGAACTATTACTTGCTAAGCGCATGGAGTGGGTGCGATGTCTGTGGCCCATGGCCGTGACGCTGTTCGCTGTGTGCGACTTCTCATCAGCAAGAAGCGTGTATCAGCCCAATGTGGACCCGGTGAATGGAGGATGTGTGGCGAGCATGTGGATGGCAGCGGGAGCTCCACTCGGTAGAGCACTGCAATACGAGCTATCGCTACGGCAGTACCCAATGCCAATGCAGGCATTACTCAACCCTACCGATTCTGGCCTGTACAGTGCCGGAGTGCGCAGGAAGAGCGATCGTAATGCTTTCCTACGCTGCTTCAGATCGCGTCCCAGCTCCCGCTCACGCAGATGCAGGACATTCCGTCTCTGCAGCGGTAATGGTGTCTGTGCTCCGACTTACGGCACAAACGGTCGTTACGAATGTCGATGCTACAGCAATTTCACTGGACCGGCCTGCAGTACGGCCCGCATAAACCCTACAAGCTTCCAAGTTCTTCCGAGTCCTCGCACAGAAAGCCATAACTCCTGTACATCAAATCCATGTTTGAATGGAGGGTCCTGTGTTAGTCTTGGCCATGATAACCAGTACAACTGTACCTGCCCAGAAGGGTTCGATGGCCCGAGGTGCGAGCGGACCCGGGT